GAGGCTGCACTGGGGTGTTCCTTGTGTCTGGACACGATGAGGGGCCTGTGTGAGCGGGAGCGTAGGGGGGATGGGGTCTGTGCTCCTCTGCCACCGCCTTCGGGGGCCGCCCCCACCTCCTTTGACCTCTGCCAAAAAGCTGAACAGTGGTGGTCCTGGCCTGACATCCCCCCTCCCTGCCCTGGCACAGCAGCCAGCCTGTCCCCACCACCCCTCCGTCCCTCCCCCCTCCTGGTGTGAGACCCTGCAAGTGTCAGAAAACAAAGACCAAGAGAAAATACCCACATGGAGCAACTATTTATTTAGACCCAGACGGGGACTGCGGCTTCTCTCCATCAACAAGTGCCTGAATCTGTTTCGGTGGAACTGCAGAGGTGCCCCCGGGTCCCTCTTGGTGACAGTGGCACCGCGTTGGGGGCAGGGAGGGTGCTGGGGTAGCGCCGTGGCTCCTTGGAGAGCAAGATGGGGTGGGTGGTGGGGGGGGACCTGCTGGGGAAGGGACAGTTGGTCTGACGGCAGAGTCGAAGTCTTGGTCCTGCTCAAGAGCTATGGGGAGTGGAGGGGCCAGACCTGGTGTCCCAGGGCTCCCTCGGGCTGGTAGGGGGGAAGGTGCCCAGGGGAGCCCCTCTAAAGCCACCGCTCGGCTGCCCAGCTGAAGGCAAACAGAGCTGAAGGCAGGGGCTGGCCGAGCAGCGAGACATCTCTGGCCGTGGGTCTGTGTCAGCCCCTCGGCCGTGGGGCCGGTGGGGTGGGAGCTGCGCCGCAGGGAGCAGTGGCTGAGTCCAGAGCCGTGTCGTGCTGGTGGTGCTGTGGGCACCCCCGGGCCGCGTTCTGCCCCTGTGAGGGGTTGGGGTCATGGCCAGGGTGGAGCAGAGACCGTCGCTTGTCCCGGTCCTCGGTGGCTGAGGGCGTTGGGGTGAGCAGAGGGGACCGGCTGCCCGGCGTCAGGATGCGCTAGAAGTTTTCCTGCTCTGGACCATCAGCCTCTTCAAAATCAAATAGGGGTGTGCTGTAAGAGGAGAGCCCCTCTGTGCCCCCCACCACCCCTGGCTGCCCCTTCCCTCCAGCTGAGTTCCATCCCTTGGGGCTCAGTGTCCCGTCCCCGGTGTGACCCCAAACCCATGGAGGGGAGCTCTGCAGCAGGCACAGGAGGAAGGCCAGGTCTCATGGGGGTCTGAGCCCCCTCAAAGAGGCATGGCTCCTCTCTGCACCCCACAACCTGGGTCCTCCCTGATCTCTAGGCCCCCAGGCTCTGGCCAGCAAGTCCCCATCAATCAACCCAGGGCTCCAGGCTCCTGGCTGGGCTCCTCCATCCCCACTCACTGCCCTCCTTCCCCTGGGTCCAGGGGCTCAGCACAGCCCAGGTTGGCCCTTCAGGGTTGGTGGGTCCCCATCAGGGTCCCGAGGGTGGGGTGGCCCCTCTGCCCTGTCAGGCTCAGCCCCTACCTGAGCTGCAAGGTGCGCTGTAGGCAGCATCCGTGCGGTCACCTGCACCGGGAAGGATGGTGACCAATGGGCTCAGGGTGAGCTGCTCTCGTTAACGAGCCAAAGCTCATCAACGTGAGCTGAAAGCCCAGCCAGACTCCCTCTGAGCCGCTGGGGTTACAAGGGGTGGCAGCGGGGCCAGGCACCCCTGGGCCATGTCCCCGGTGGGGCTCACCGGTCTCGTAGTAGTCGTACAGCGTCACGGTGGCTGGCTGGAGGTTCCTCACCGGGAAGTCCTGCATGGCGGTGAAGGAGAAGGTCTCCTCTTCCTTTGTCAGCTGTGGAGATGGCCCAAGGGTGGGGTGTAACCACCCACAACAGGGATGCATCCCCACGTGCCAGCACGTGGGGTCCCGCTCCTGTCCCCGTGCCCCATCTCACCTCATCCAGGTAAATTGTCACTTGGTCGGGCTGCACCTCCACCTTCTTCACCAGCTTCTGCCTCTTCAGCTGGAGGGACACAGCTCAGGATGGGCAACAGCTGCTCGGTGGGTGCCCCAACCAGGGCCAACACCCCGAGAGGGTGCCCCAGAGGGGGTCCTGGGGCCAGTGGGAGCTTCTCACCTCCACCACGGAGCTCTTGTCCGGGATGTAGCCAGAGGGCAGCTTGGCCTCAATGACAACCATGTTGGTGGCGGGACGCTCCCCGGTGTACCTGCAAGGGCAGAGCCCCGGAGTGGGGTTAGGGGCTGCCCCCGCTCCTTGGCTGCTCCTGGCCCCCCCAAAAGCAGAAGGCACCTCCAGCCCCTACCGTGCCCGGAGGAGGAGGCGGAAGCGGGTCCTGGCGTCCCCCGTGCACTCCCCGGGCTCTGTCTCCACGCGGAGATCGAACGTCCCCACGCTCGGAGGGGGTGGCACGTTGTAGCGCAGGGTCACCTGGGGTGACACAGGGGGGTTGGAGCCACCGAGCAGTCAAAAAAAAAGGGACCCCAGGCCGTACCCACCTGCACCAGGGCGCAGCCCTGCCCGCGGGCTCGCACCCCGTACGCCCCCGGCAGCTGGCGCAGAGCCGCCCGCTGCAGCACCAGCCGGTTGCTGTCATGCAGCACGAAGTCCTGCACGGGGCCCGTCGGGGACGTCACCGTCACCACGAAGTCCCCGTTGCTGCCGTACACCAGGGTGGCGTACTTGGCCAGGGCTTGCAGAGCCACCACGGTGTCCTGGGCGTAGAGAAAGCACCAAGCCAGGGTCACCCCTGACGATATGGGGTACAGAGGGGGGATGTTTGGAGCAGCCCCGTGGACCTCAGTGGCGGTACCTGCGTGGAGGCGAAGCCCCCGTAGGGATTTTGCTGCTTGCTGAGCCAGCGGACGATTTGGGAAGCGGTCCCCAGGTCGGCAGAGGACACTTGGGGCTGGGAGAGGTAGGCCAGGAGGACGTAGGCGGTCATCTCCACCTCCGCCGGCGCGGCAGCAGCCCAGGAGGGCTGCGAGGGGGGGAGAGCCTTCTCCTTCAAAAAATCCCTCTGGGAGAGAAGGGGGTGGCCGCTCAGCCCCCTGCTCTAAAGGTCCCGGGGGACTGGGGGTGGGATGGGGTGACCCAGGAAGCGTGTGGCACTGCCCGGAGGTGCCACTGCCCGTGCGGGGTGGTACCTGCGCTGACGCTGTGCTGGGCCAGACTCTGCAGCTGGGTTTGCTGCTGCTCCCTGCGCCCCGCCAGCCCGAAAACGTAGGCAAGCAGCGCCTGCGTGTAGGGGTCGTCCGTGGCCGAAGCCTCCAGGCACTGCAGGGCTGAGCTCACCTTCGGGTCCTGGCATGGGAACAGAGTCAGGAGCCAGCCCGTGGGCGTAAGCATCGCTCAGAGGCCCCAGTTCAGCCCAGTGAGACCCGTTGCGCCCAGGCTGGGCTCGGAGGTGGCCTGGAACAGACGGACCCCCTGCCCCAGCACACATCCCCACCCCACCAGCCCCACTGGGGAAGATGGGGTCATCCTCACCGTTGGGGACAGCCCCAGCTCCAGCATCGCAGCCGTGACATAAGCCGACAGCGAGAGCTCATCTGAGATGCCACCCTGCAAAGGGGACAGCGGGAATGGGTCCAGCCATGCCGTGCCACCTGCACAGGGACTCCCCCCCACTGCCTAAACCACACACCAGAGATGTGCTGCGGCCAATCCAGCTTTGGCCACACATCCTCTTGTGTCCCCCCGACCCACCTGCAGGGCGTTGTTGAAGAGCTTCCCCACGCTGCGGAAGCAGCCCGTCTCCCGCTGCTGCTTCTGCAGCCAGCGCAGCGCGTCCGTGATGTGCCGCTCCTCGATGGCCACGTAGGCTCTGGCCTGCCCAAAGGACTTGAGGACAAACGCTGTCAGCCTACGAGCCAGAGAGACATGGGAGGGATGGGAGACCAGGGCTGGGGTGCGGCGGGACGCCGCTGCAGAGCCTGCCCAAGCCCTGTGCGGTCCCTCACCAGGTGTTGCCGCTGGGATCGCTCTTCCCGAAGGCGCTGTAAGAGCCGTCGTCATGTTTGTAGAGCAGCTCTCGCTGGTACCCTGTGGGGAGCAGATGGGGACGAGTCTTTACCTGGCAGTTCTTACATCTCCAGGGGATCCTAGAGGCAGCCCACAGCCCAGACCCACCCTGGGGCACCGGTAGAAAGTTGGAGGGGGGGTGTGGTGTGTGTGTGTGTGGATATGGGGCGGTGGTGTCCCTCAGCAGCAAGGCAGGGTGGGACAGGGAGAGGAGGGGACCAGGGATGCTCACCGCTCTGCAGGAAGCCCTGTGCCTTGGCACGGATGTCGGGCTGCAGCTGCCCGCTCTTCTCCAGGTACTGCTGGATGTAGATGTTGGGGGCAAAGCGAACCATGTTCTGCTCCCCACAGCCGTAGGGCATGGCCAGGAGGCGGTCCAGGTTCTGCAGAGCGTTGCCCATGATGTCGCCTGTCCCAGGAGGACATGGGGAGCATCGTCGTTGGCCGTGCCCCCCTGCCACCAGCGCCCTATATCCCTGTCTGTCTCAGCTCCAGGTGGTCCCACCTTCTGCTGAGCTTGGGCCCTGGTGCTCTGCACCCTCCCTGCCCCAGGCGGTCCCCAGGCCCCCACCTGTCCCTTACCCATCACGGTGACATGGGCTCGCTGGGAGCCCTCTAAGATGTTCGCAGGAACCTCCAGGGAGATTTCTTCAGCAGCTGTGGGGATGGAAGGCAACCACAGTGGGGATGCCCAGCTCCTCCTGGCCCTGCCCCATGGCATCCTTGCCCACCCCCTTCCTGCTCCAACCCTCCAGGGGCTCAAGGCTGAGTTGCAGCATCTCAGCCAGGAGCCCCTAAGGGACCCTGGTCCTTGGATCCTCTGGCCTGGTGGCCCTTGTGACTGGTGGCCAAGTATCTCTGCCCCACATCCCCACGGCACTGCCGGACACCCCCGGGCAGTCCTACCTTCCTCACAGAGCAGGGAGTTGTGCGCCTTTTCCACCAGGATGCCCCCGGGCTGTGGGGAAGCAGCATCAGTCGGTCAGGAGAAGGGACCAGCAGTGTCCCCCTGTCCCCCAGGGTCATGCCTGCAGCCCAGGCTTGGGGCTGGGTGCTGCCATGCTCCTGGTCCTCCTGCTGCACCCCAAGGGCTGCTTGGACCCTGTCCTCAAACCCGTCCCACTTTTCTCCTCCATAACCCATCTGACCTGCACCAGCAAGGGCTTTATCACGGTGTCCACACGACCCTGGGCCGGCGTGACGGGCATCTCATTGCCACAGAGCTCCTTGGAGCTGAGGGCCTCAGTGCTGACGGTGATGTTCACCTCCCCTGTGGATGCAAGCGGGGCACTGAGTCCCCATGGAGCACCCCCAACCCATATTGCAGCCCCACAGGCTTGCATCAGCCCTGGGTCTTTGTGTGGGGCCGGCTGGCTTGGTACACGGGTCACCAGGTTGAGGAGCAGTGCTGGGAGGCAATGGGGAGGGTGAAAGTGGAGCAGAGGAGAGCTTCCCAGGTGGCACTGCATTTGCTCCTGTCCTCCCTGCCCACCCTGTCCTCCGAGGAGGTCCCCAAGCAGCAGGGCAGGGGGCTCTGTACCCAGGCTGGTGGCTCGCACGCCCCACCGGAAGGTCCTCGCTTCGTCCGCACAGATACAACCGCCGTACGCCTCGTCCGCGCCCGCCGACACCTCCAGCTCCGCCGACTCTGCCAGCGTCACCCGAACCTGCCGGACCGTGGCCATGGTTCCATCAGCCCCCGACGGACCCCAGCCCCAGGGACCCCTCCCCAGCCCCACTCACCCGCAGGCACTGCTGCAGGTAGTTGAAGACGGTGGCCACGAGGGTGAAGGCTTCGTGGCGGATCACGGCGTAGGGCAGCGCCAGCTCCACGAAGAAGGGCTTGAAGGCTGTGAGGGTGGTGGTGGGGGCCAGCCCCAAGCCCAGCGGGGACGTACAGAACATCCCGGCTTCCCACTCGGTGATGGCGTCGGGCACCGTCACCGTCACCTCCGCAGAGCCCCCCTCCCTGTGGGATGGAGAACGTCATGAGGCCATCCCACCACGTTCAGCCACAGCTGGTGCCATCCCCAGCAGGGCTGGCTCTCTCCCTGTGGGAGAAGGAGCCATCCTGAGGTCCCCAACCTCCCTCCATGCCAGAGGATAGGTGGGGAGAGGACCAGCCCCATGGGGACCATCCTCACTCACCCCACGGGTACCAGGTCCCACAGCCATGTCTCTGGGAAATATGTCCGGGGTGCCGGTGGCTCCGGTGGCTCTTCCTGCACAGCAGCACTGGGGATACCACGGACCTTTCCTTCCGAGACACCAACTTCTTTCCACAAGTAGAAGACACTGGAACCAGCACCTCCTGGAAAAGGCAGAGCAGAAATTGGGGTCCATGGGTCTCTGCATCTTAGCTGGACCTCGCCTTCAGGCAGCATGAAGGTAGCCAAAATCCTTTTCAGTCCCCTTGAATCCCTTTGATGCCAAGTGTATTTTCAGGTTGTCTCCGAGTCCCTCTGAGGACACGGGAGCCAGGACCAAGCACCAGGTCTTTGCCTTTTTCTTCCAAGAGGGCTCAGCAGAACAAGCAAGTCAAGGGCTGTGCTGACCTCTGGGACCTCGGAGACCTACTTCTGTGGGCAAGCCGACCGGCTTTTCGCAAACTTCGCTGATCTTGGCATTGGTGAAAAGTTTCAGTGCTGCGTTCTGCGAAAAAGAAAAGAGGTTGTCCATCTCTGAAACCCCGTAGGAGGAATATCCCCATCCCAGCAGTAAATAGTCAAGGGGCTACAGAAGACAACAAGTAGAGAAGCACTGGAGCCTGGGGTCTGCGGGAAACACCTTTGCCACAAGTATGGCTTTCATGGGGCGTTGCTGTGCTTTCCCAGCACCCTGAGCAAACCACAGCTGGCTCCTGGATGGAGAGGAACCAGGAGGCAAAGTGGGCAGGGCCTTTACCCAAAATAACTTGTAGGTGTCCATCTGGGAATTCCTCTGGAAAGGGGGAAATAAGTGACGCCTCCTTAGAGGACGAAAGGCTTTCCGTCTCGGTACAAGTGGGATGATGGGAATGTCGGGAGTGTAAAAGTCGAGGTCATAGTCCCAGGAAAACGTTGGACAGGGTGGTGGGTCCTGAATGCTTCCAGGGTAGTTGAATTCAGGGAGAACTTTGTAGACCTGGGAGTAAACATATGTGCTAGGTACAAAACCAGCCGGGCACCTACCCTGCTGCCCAGAAGGACGGCCCAGGAGCCACCGTGGCACTGAGTCCCTGCAGGGGAGGTCCAAGCCAATGTCGTCTCTTCCCCCCCATCCCTGGCTGGTCCCTGGGGCTGCAGAAGGGGCCTGGGGCAGTGCCACCACTCACCGCCTCCATATTGAGCTTAGCCTCGGGCTTCAAGAGCAGCACGCTGCGGTCCACGGCACGGATGGCGCACAGGGACCCTGGGGCAGCCTGAAGCTCCAGCCACAGCTCTGAGCCGGGCAGAGCCCTGTCCTCTGAAAAAGCCATCTTCACCTGGGGAGGGACAGAGGTGTCAGAGGGCAAGGCAGGAGGGGGAGCCACCTCCTATGGAGGAGCAGGACCAAGCCACGGGCACGGAGGTCTCTTCTAGACAAGGATAAAATCAGGCTTGAGGGTTTGGGGATCATGGCATGGGTTAACGAGACCGTGACGCTGTGATGCATCTGGAGCAGGATGGACCTCAGAGCATGCAGCTATGGACAAGCCATGGAGCCGTTCCCCCACCTCCAGCAGCCTCCTCTCACCTTGTTGGGGAAGCACTTGGCCACCTTGAGCTTGGTGCTGTCAGCCACCATCTCACCATTGGGCAGCACTGTGTAGCCCAGCACCCTGGCCGTGGGCGCCAGCTCGAGGTCGATGGGCAGCTCCAGGGTGAAGGAGCCTCTCAGCCCTGGGCCATGGGAAAGGAGGGGAGATGTGGACCAGGCACAGAGAGCAGAGCCCTGCACAGCCCATCTGTGCCTTGGGACCTACCAGCCTCTGCAGGCAGCTCTTTCCTGAGGACGCTGACAATATTCTCCTTGGCCAGGACCTGCAGAGGAGGAGATGGGAACAACAAAACCATTGCTGAGTGCGGAACTGAAACGCCCTGATGGAGGATGGACCCCAGGGCAAGAGTATCAGGATGGGTTTTGACCTCGCCCAGTCTCCAGCCCCCACAATGTCTCCCATTGGCAGGCAGGTCCAACGGTGCCAGCAGACACCTCTACTGAGAGGCATAGGTCTCTCGGCCTAGCCAGGGGACACATCCTCAGGGACACAAGCACAAATGTGTACGTAGATGTAGAACTTTGCACACAACCGCCCTAATGCCCGCTGCCCAACCTCCCTGGGCGGGGGCTCACCAGGAAGACCACATCCAGGCTATCCCGCTCTGTGCCCAAGGCCTCCTTGCTGAAGACGTAATCCACCCGGAGCTGCTGGGGCTGGCCGCAGGGCAGCTCACTCTCCAGCCGGTGGATCTGCAGGAAGCTCTGGCTCGCCGAAAAGAAGGGGCTGAGGAACGTGTAGGCCCTTCGGTAGATAGTTGAGCCACCGTTCTGACTGTGAGCTGTGTTGTTGACTTCACCCTGAGCAGTGGAGGTAGAAATCAGGGTGCTGAAGCCATGCAGCAGCCCACAAGGTGCTGGTCCCAGTGCCAGGCATCACTGATGCAGGCTCAGAGAAGTGCCCAGCCCTGCACTACTGGAGAAAGCAGCACAGGGACCCCCAAGGGGTGGGAGATGGGCCACTTACACGCAAGGAAACAGTGCCACTCCAACCAGAGGTCTCCAGTGTGAAGGAGGCTCTCCCTGATCTGTCTGTCAGGAAGGTCTGTCTCGTATCTTTTCCTTGCTGGCTAACGACGAGCAAGAGCTGCTTCTGCGGCTGCACGGCGCCGTTGGCTCCCTTCAGCAGCATCTGCACCAGGAGGGAAGGGGAGATGCCCCACGTTGGGCTGCAGGCATGAGACGGAGGGCAGGGGTGGGAGAACAGGGCTGGGGGGTCAACAGGAGCAGGACTGGATGTAGCAGGGTACAAAGGAACCCTGCGGGGTGTGCGGACACCCCCATTACCGTCCCAGCGTAGGGGATGCCAGGCTTGTAGAAATTGTCAGTGTTTTCAAAGGTGACAGTGAAGATTTCGGGTGAAATCTTGCAGCTCTTGGTGTTTTTCAGCTCCAGCCCTGTGGAGAGGGAGTGGGGAGCTGAGGGTGTTGCAGGGACCCAGGGTACAGGTTAGCTGCTGCCACCTCCCCTGTCATGGTGCAGAAAAGGTCACTGGACATTTTAGGCTTTCCCTCTGCAGCCAGCAGCTTCGAGCACAGTTTGCACCTCCTACAAGAGGAAAAAACCTCTACAGCGTGTTTTAGACCTAAAACTGGGGTGCAGCTGGCTGCAGAGACTTCAGAAAAGGCTCTTCACCAAAGCACCATGATGCAGGGCCACCTCGGTGCTGGTGTGCCCAGGGACAACCCCTGGCCTTCTTTTTTTTTTCCAAAACCAAGCCGCTGGCCATCATTTCTGGTGTGACCGAGGTGGTGGGTGAGGGATTAGCCTGAAGGACAAAGCCACAGCACTGGAGTGGGTGAAAACATTGCTTTGCATTGCAAGGACTCGACTCGCTGCTAGCTGTAGCATTGGGAGAATTGCTGGATCTTGGAAAGGTATTTTTGCCTCCTGACCATTTCTCTGGTCAGAATTAGAAGTGTTGGTTGGCTGAGCTGGCTGACATCCCCACCTGGACCTGGTCCCTGCACACATGCACCCCTAAATCACAGCGTTGCTTTTGGGCTTCCCTGGAGAAGACCGATACCCCCATGCCCCATGCATTTGGGTGCACATGGGAATGAATGCAAAACCATGCACCAGCAGCAATGCCCATTCCCGAGCAGGAGAACACTGCTGTCCCCACCTGTCCCATCCTCCACCAGTGATGCCTGGACTTGGAGTTGATTCTCATACATGGAACTGGTCAGGTTGAAGGCCAACAACAAAACCTCTGTTGAAAAGCAACCGTTCTTCTCCGTCTGGAGGGAGAGAGTCAACCCTGTGAGCAACAGTCCTGGGAAGGGGCTGCCCCAGTGGCACCCACACTCCCCAGCTGTGCTCACCTGCCCGCTAACCTCGATGCAGTTCTTCTCTTTCTGGGGGGCACTGTGAAGTCTGTGCAGGATCCAGATGTGCCTGGTGGACTGGCACAAGCTGGCCTGGACCTTCCCCTGGACGGGCTTCCCGTAGGTGTACCTGTTGGGTGGAAGGTGGTGGAGGTGTCCCTGATGGACCACATCATGTCGTATACCCCCATCCCATCCCATCCCATCCCATCCCATCCCATCCCATCCCATCCCATCCCATCCCATCCCTCTTCCCGGCTCAGCCTGTTTTGGGCTCACCGTCCACAGATCTCCATCTGGAACTTCTTGTCCTCCGCCAGCACCACAGCGGGGAGATCAATGGTCATCTCAAACTTGGGCAGCACTGATGGGGAAGCAAAGGGACAGAGGGCTGTCACTCCAAGGACGAGGACAAGGGTGCCTGGATGGCCAGGGGGACCAAGACAACAGGAACATGCCAAGGTGTGTCTCCCACCCGCCATGCACCTCCCGGTCCCTGTGTACCATATTCCTCCACGCTGAAGGAGTGGGTCTTCCCTTCCACCGCAATGATGTACGTGCCCAGGGCCGGCTCCGCGGCCAGTGGGAGGGACAGGTCCACGATGCCCTGCTGAGGGCTCACCTCCCGCCACTGCGCGATGCGGTTCCCACTGGGATCCTGCACACAGGGACACGCGGCATCAGCACCCTGGGGACCCCAGCACCCCGTGATAAAACAGCCCATGGCTGCATTATGCTTCTCCTCTCCCAGCCACGCTGCCTTCCCAAGCCCACACCACCCAGGAGCCTCCCTCCATCTCTCAGGCTGACCTTCAGGAACACCAGGGGCAGCTGCAAGGCAAAGAGAAGATGGTTAGAGGAGAAATTCAAAGCCTTCCTTGGGGTCTCACCAGGGTGAGGACATCTATGGAACCATGGGTGGAGTAGAGTGAGGGTCGTTTGTGGGATGCTGTGAACTTCCAACCCTTCCATTTTCTTCAGGACTAATTTTGAGCCTGTGGGTGGCTCTAGCTGGGAAGAGCCAAGGGCACTGCCAGCATGGCATGGAGAGGTAGTATCTCCTAGTGCCTTTGCAAGAAGCCAGCAACCATTTCATCCAGGAACCTCCTGCACTTCCAGAGACCCAGATAATTGCTCAGGGGTGCCAGAGACTGAACTCGCCTGTAATCCTGGTGTCTGATGACTTGATATCAATATCCCTTTCCCTGCTTCCCACTCACCATTGGTGCATCCCTAACTGAAAGCTTAAGCGGGTACGTTCCCTCGGCTCACGTGCAACTCTGCTTCCTCTTTCCTTAGCCTGCTGAAGCCTGCATGAACAGCACAGGACATCCCTGCCCCTGGGGAGCGCAGGCACTCAGGCAGAGCTGGCTGGGGAGGATTCCCAAGGGCAAAGGCACTTGCTGACTCCCACACCTCTCTCAGAGCTTGCCAAGATTGTAGGAGGGCAGTGCAGAGGAGCCCTGTCACCTCCCCCCTTCCCCAGCCCTGCTCTCACCTTCTTATTGCTGGGAATGAAGTCTTTATCCAAAGAGACAATTCGAAGCTTCACTGGAAAGAGCAAATGGGGAGGCAGGAGTGAGTGCATCTGCAGGGACGGGGGTTCCCCATGGGGAAGGTGGATGGAAATCCATCCTCAGCCCTGGAGTGGGGTGCTGCCCACCAAGTGGCACAGCCTGCAGTGCTGCCAGAGTGTCCTGGCATTGCCCTGGGCCGGTGCTGGGGGTCCCAGTGCATCCCAGGATGAGGCCTCTTATTTCCATGCAACGTAGGAGCAAGGCTGAGCCTCCTGCACTGCTCTCCCACCAGGTCCTTCAGCCCAGAGCAGGGTGGTCCATCCTGCCTCCCTCACCTTGCTGTCCAGGCTTGTAGACAGCCTTGTCTGTCTGTATGAAGATCCCAGGCTCCAGGGCTCTCAGCATCACCTTCTTCTTCTCGGAGACATCCAGGGAGTCTCCCTGGATTGAGACGTGCAGGTTCACAATTTCGTCCTTCCCTTCGGTGGGGGCTGGAGCCTGCCAGGGGAAACACCAGGCACTGGGTAAGGACAAGGGATATGCCATGGCCAGGATGCTCTGCTCATCCAAGCGGCCTAGAACACTCCTAACCCACAGGGACACCTTACCCAAGCCAGGGGTTGGGAAGAAACATCCCCTCAACAACCTGCCCTAGTCTGCACATCTGCTACCAGGGAATTATTTCAGCCACCAAATAATGTGGCTGAGCCCAGAGTCGGTTTGCCTGTGTAGGGGATGAGACCCTACCAAAAGATGGGGAAGTCACACCTGCTTCCAGCCCCACATGAAAGCACAGCCCCATGCTCCAGGGAGCTGGTGGAAACTGCTCTGCCTGGAGACAGCAGCATGTCCAGGGCATCCCTCTCCACGCTTACGGCTGTGAGTGGGTGACACTCACGGGGAAGGTGATGTTCAGGTACAGACGAGGCTCCTGGACCTTCCTCTCCAGCAGGGTGATGTTATGGGTCCCGTGTGCTCTCTGCAGCTGGACAGTCACCTGGACGGGCTCGTGGAGGCCACTGAGATGGACCCACAGCGTCGCCGTGTGGGGGTGGTAGATCACAGCTGGGGACGTGATCACATAATGCCTGGCAAGGAGAAGTGCTGACATGAGAGGTGTGGGGATGGGGCAGATCCCAATACAGACCCCGCAGAGGTCTTGAAGAGCTCCTGGGTGCACAGAAACCTGTGCTGGGGTGCAGGACCACCTCCCCCAGCCTCCTCGCTCTGCTTCTAGGCTCCCTTTGACTTCTTTGCTCAGCAAAGCAAAGGCTCTGCTCACACGTTGGCTGCAAGTGAGGCAGCACCTACAAGAAACCACCCCAGAGCCACCAGCCCCTGGGTGCCAAGTTCTCAATGCTCCTGGGGAGAGACAACCCACCAGCCCGAGCACTTCCACCCTGGCCAACAATCACACACACGGGAAGGATTAGCTCCCGCTACGTCCTGCCAAGGAGCCAAGGCTGAATGCGTTCCCACCAGGCGTGGGCAGACAGACAGACAGACACAGAGAGGGCTTACAGTGCTGCCGATGCGCCAGCTGTGAGGTGCAGGATGAGGAGCAGCAGGACAGGCAGGGCAGCTGGGGACCTCATGTCTCCAGCTGCAAGTGGACATCGGGGATGGCTACAGCCTCCTTCTCCAGGTGTTGGGTTGCTGTAGCCCTGCGTCTGCTCTGCTGCAGGCTCTGAAATGAGAGCTTTGCTTTCCATCCAACGAGCAAACAAGGGTTGGCAGAGGGATGCAGCGTGGACCTGCAGATATAGCCAAGGCAATGTTTACCGTCTGCCCACAGCCTCCTGGGTTCAAGGCTCTGATGGATTTTTGCAATCTGAGGAAAGGTTCCCATAGGCTATAGAGGTCCAAAATCAGGGGGCAGGACCCACCTACACACTGGTCTGCTGGGAAATGATGGAGGGAGCAGGAACGAGTTTTCCAGATGAAAGTAGGCAGCACATCATGAGAACAGTCTGTGAGCTGGTGGCAATTTCTCAGAAAGGCTTGTTTCCAGGTATTTCAAATGTAGCCAAACAGTAGCTATTTGGGCTGATCTCAGTCTCAGACTGTTTTTTTGCCCAGTTTCCTCCAGTTTCATCAGATCAGTTATGGGCACAGGAGCAGGACGGCGTTGGGCTGTCGTGCCAGCTCCACCCGCTCTCATTCCTCTGTGCACCGCGCCTGGGAGCCGGACACCAGCCAGGACACAGGCCGAGCTGCCTCTTTCTGTCCTGGTGGGAATTCAGGGAAGCTGAGGCAGCTCTGTGACAGCCGTACGGTGTCCTGAGAGCACCCCTTGCTCTGGGGTTTTGCAGTCCCCTTCCCTTTGGGGACGTGGGGAGAGGCAGAGGCAGTGCTGCGGGAAGCCATGGATGGGGCTGAGCCCTTTCCCATGGGCTCTCGGATGACCACGGCTGCTGTCCCCATGCCTGCCCTGCTCGAGTGTTGCCAGATCCAGCCCTGTGCTCACCTCCCTGCCCTTCAGGAGCAGCCCCACGCGGTGTCAGTGTCTGGAGGAGGCTGATCCCTTCCACCCCCATGGACATGAGGTGGGAGCATGGCCTTGAGCCCATCCTGCTGCCTTGGGATGTGAGTGTGGGTCAGTGCCCTGACAGGCATCCCGGGGACAGTTCAATGTGACAAGCAGTTCTGGGCCATCAGCACACTGAGCCCTTCAGGGCACGGGGCAGGATGCAACAGGGGCCATGAGCTGTGTGGCCAAGGGGAGATCGATTCGGGAGCACGGGGGGGCCTCTGCCTCTTTGATCAGCAGGGCTGCTGAGGGGGAATATTGCACAGAGGATTTGCCATTTGTTGCTGCTGGTGACTTCGGAGCAGGATCCAGAGTGGGTTGACCCCCAGCCTTGTTGCCCGCGCAGTGAATGCTCTCTCTGGTTTGGTCTCAGCTTTTTATTCAGCAAACAAAGTGAAGGTGCAGCCTCTCTGACACATCATTAAGGCAGACAGCAGCGCTGAGCCCCTAAAACAAAGTGTGTTTTGGGACATGGGGCTGGCTTTGGTCAGGGATGGTGGGAAAGAGCCTGAAGAAAGGGAGATTTCTTGCAAGAAAAAACATGTTGCTGCTTAAGCTTCCCTTATCCCACTCTCAGTTTTCTTCATTTTTCAGCCTGACTGAGCGGGGACAGGGACAGTGCTGCAATCAGGGCAGCCCTGAGCATCCTCTCCACGCCCAGCCATTAGGCTTGCGCTGATCTCCCAAGGCTTTTTGTCAGCCCAGGGTCAGCTCACTTGCCCTGGTCCCCTCTCTGAGGGACTGCGGTGGCATCAGCTCAAGGAAAACCACGACTCCATGGTGAGCAGAAAAGTGGCTGCTCCCCAGGCAGCCCCCGACCCCCGCCGGATGGCAGGGCTGCTGGGGAGCAGGGCTGGGTTGCGGAGTCCTTGTCTCAACCATGTCAGGTGAAGGGGATGAAGGGATGGGAAAAGGCTGCCAGCCCTCGAGGCTGTGTCTGTCCAGTGGGGTACAATGGTGTCAGGAGCAGAGGGACAGCCAGGAAGTTGCAATTTTCCTTCACATCGGCCTTAGAGGCTTTAAAACAAGGAATACAGCATGTATGAGACCAGGATCAGAGTCAATCTGCCCTTCTCTGTCCCAGAAATGCCTCCCTCCCTCCAACAAAAGCCCAACCTGGAACCCATCCCCATCAGAAACCCATCGTATCTGATGGGCCAGGAGAGCTCAGGGCCACCCAGGCCAAGCTGGGCTGTCCTTGGAGCAGCCCCATGCAATGGTGTGATGAGGGGATTGAACTGAACATCACACAGCCAGCGGCCTCAAATCTACCAGTCTCACCCCAAAAGGGAAGGCACCATCCCACGGATGGTACCTAAGCATGGACACAGACTGTCCCTTTGCTCTGGGTGCTGGGGCTCTCCCCACACCTCGCGGCACCCACAGGCACCGTCCAGCCTGGCTGGGCAGATGCTCTGCTCTGCTCCGGGGGTGACTGCTTTGGGTGCAACTCTGCTCCCGGCGAGAGGATGGTGCAAGCCCACCACCTCGCTCCACTCACCTGCACCATCAGGAGTTTTGTCTCGGTGTCCACACGACCCTGGGCTGGCACCACGGGCATCTTGGTGCCGCAGAGCTTCAGATGGAGCTATGAGCCCACCACAGCCTTCTGCTCCGAGAAGGACAGATTCACCTGGAGAGAGGGGAAGCCTTTGGGTTAGGGGAGAGGGGAGCTGCTCCCTGGAAGGACCTCTGTGCTGCAGCCTGACCCCAAATGCCAACAGAAGATGGAGAGTGAGGACTGTGAGCAAAGCCAGGAGATGGTTTGCAGCGGCAACAGGAATGGGAAAGGAAGCAAAACCCTCCCTGAAAGGAGAGTCTGGGACCAGCATCTCCTCTCCTCAGTGCCCACATCTCCCCACTGAGCCCAGCAGCAACTCCCCTGAGTCTGGCAGCCTCCACTCACCTTGTTGGGGAAGCACTTGGCCACCTTGAGCTTGGTGCTGTCAGCCACCATCTCACCGTTGGGCAGCACTGTGTAGCCCAGCGCCCTGGCCGTGGGCGACAGCTCGAGGTCGATGGGCAGCTCCAGGGTGAAGGAGCATCTCAGCCCTGGGCCGTGG